TTTTTTTTTTTTTTAGAGGCAAATTTTTATTAAATTTTAACTGATAGGAAAGTTGTAATAAATATTTCTTTCCCACGTATCGAGAAATAAATTTTACACTTGTTTTTAGTCTTTCAAATCTGAGTATATGATGCTGAAAGGTAAAATATGTTCATTATACTTTGAGTAATCTATATTTATTTTTCATAATTTCGTTTCAGAGTTTTCTTCTTCTGTCAAATATCTCAGCTTCTGAGTTATTATTTATACCGTATGTAATAATCAAAAAGAACCAGTAACTAAAAATATTTATTTTACAAGTGTCATTGTCTTAAAAGAAATAAAATAATATTTTATTAATGAAATAAAAAGCTCGTAAAATAATGAACTCTTACCATATTATTCTCACTCCCAACAACTAAATAAAATAAACTCAACCAATGAAATAAGTTTGCAAAATTATCATTTCAATGCTCTCTAGTAATTTAATGCTTGAAAATTTTCATACATTGGAATTGGTAAATAATAAATTAAGATTAAACGAACTTTACCCAAATTCAATTCCTTCAGAATTCCATTTGACGAAACTGTTTGAAATCCTGTTTTCAACTATCAGTTTCGTCTACGATAGGAGGAACAGTGTCCTATCGATATTTTCGAAATGTCAGGTCTTCCATTAAAGGAAATTGCATTTACTTCTAACTGGATAGATGGACGAGCAGCTGATTCAGTGCCAGGATAATAAATTGCCATGAAGTCATTTATTAACTTTTATCCGTAGCAAGCAGACTGTAAGATAAAAGATCTTTTCTTTTTTTTATGAGGAAACGAGTCTCCTTGATCGAATTTGATCGAAGAAATGGCCTTCGTTGACTTATCTGTTCGCGTGGAATCATTACTGATATCACTATGATTCGATTATAATGAAGAAATAATGTCACACATCTGAATTTCCGCTGTCCTCTCGTGAGCATTATTTTTATATCAATTAGCATCTATATCTATGTTTCAATTATCAATTTTTTTCTCCACTTTCGTACGAAATCGCGTTAGAGCAGACGGAACACGTGAATCATAAATTAAATTTAATCATAAATTTTAAAAAAATGTTATCATCGCACGTCTGTTTGCTAAGAATGTAATTTAAATAAAAGCGTCTTTGTTTTCGTGAACAAATAAGCAAAAACTGCTGAAACTTTTATCCCGCTGATAATAGACGCAAATAAAAGAGAAAAGCGTTCTTAGTTGATAAAATTTCGTATGATCGGAAGTAGACAAGTTTCTTGCAGGGCTTGAAAATAGTTACGATATCGATTTCGATCTCTGAAACGTAGGAACGAAAATTTCTGTTAAAGATCGGTTTCGATCACGGCTCTTCATGTATAGAATCGGTTCCAGGATCGTTAAATTTTCGATCGTATATCGGTTCCAGGTCCGAACTTTTAGCTCAACCTTTGACTTTTAACTCAAAACATTTTTCACAAATAACAGTTTGACTTCTCATTGTCCAACTCAGGCATATTTAAACAAATTAGTGACATATCACCTTACAAGTAGAATGGACCCGTGTGCGGCTCGACATCATTAAGTAGAATGGTCCGTACTTGGTCAGACGTCAGTAAAAGGAATTCCAATTCGCTTGATACTTTTCCATTATTATATTCTTCTACTTAGATGAAACTTCATAATGTCTTGTACAAAAACGCATAATACACATGTTCGAGTATTTTCGCGAGCAGCTGTAATTTTAAAATAATTTTTTATTCGAGGTGCATACTCCGCTGGTTAGGTTTGCCAAGGAATCGCCCGGAAGGTCAGACAATGTGCATTGAATTGCAATGAAACATGCAATGTTTCTTAATGAATTTGTCCTCTTTCCATTTGAGAACGTGTATACGTTTAATATACGTTTGTTACAATACTAGCAACAAAGTCTGTATTGTCAGTTTTGCGAAAAACTCGTGGGCGAACGAAATTCGTTTTGTGAAATATAAGATCGAGATGTTAATATTGAAAATTAGGATCAAACATATGCAGTATGAGTTGTGAGATACGAGGTAGAAAATATGAAATATACAGTAGGAAATATGTAAATATAAGCTGCGGAAGTCAATTTAAGGCATGTGGATTTAATAATATTAAATAAATATTAAACAAGGAATATGAAATATAGAATGTAAAGTGAAAATATTATTTAATGATTATCAATAGATTAAGAAGATATTAGTAAATATTAGTAATCCATTAGAGATACTGGATGTGACATATGAGATATGAGATATGAAATAGCGAATATGTGACATGGGATAAGAATATGAGCTACGAAAGTTAGTTTAAGAATTGTGGATTAATGATGTTTAACATGAGATATTCTGTATTGAATGTAGGATATGAAATTAAATATAGAATGTGGAATGAAAGCGTTAATAATGGAAATTAGAATAAAAATATCCGTTGAAAATACTCCGGAATATGATATGTGAGATATGGATAATACGAAATATGCGACGTGAAGTAAAAATACGAACTGTGGAAATTAAATTGAAGAATACGAGTCGATGATATTGTATAAAAACAATAAAATTTCGGATAGAATATGCGAAAAAAAAAAATATTGGACGTAGGACACGATGAAAAATATAAGATTACACCTATCGGTCAAGAAGCAAATTTAATCAGCTAATCACAGTAGTTGCTCGACAAGTCGTTGAGTAAATTTCAACGAGCAACAAAGAAAAGAATAATAAAATAT